TTTTTTTTTTTTTTTTTTTTTTTTTTTTTTGGGGGGGGGGGGGCAAAAAAAGAAAGGGAAGGAAGAGACAAGGAAATGACAACAAACAGGCCCAGGTTCTGAGACGACTAACTCCCCAAGTAAGAGCTTCTCAAACTCTAACGTGCATCAGAATCACCCGGATTTCGTTCACACAGATTCTGGTTCAGTAGGTCCAGGTCTAGGGAAGGGAAAGCTGAGATTCTGCATTTCCAACAAATTCCCCAGGGATTCTGATGCTGTAGATTTGTGGAACACACTGATTAGCAAGGCTCCAAATCCCTGCAACTAAAAATTTGTCAAGATTTCAATACCTTAGATACTACAATAGATATTTTTAAACATTCTAATCTAAGTGCTAAGGTATGATTTGGAAAACTTATGCTAACATGAGTAAATAAAAGGCAACACATAAAATTCCTCTCACAGCTTAAAAAAAAATTACCTGAACCATCTAAATCATTTTTAAAAAGCCTTTCTCAGAATGCAAATCAATCAATCAATCAATAATAAAACTAAGTAACCTAATCATGTTCATTTTCACTAGCACATTGATCTTAAGTGAAATTTATGACAAACTTATATTCAATTGCTTCTTTAATAATATTCTGGAATTTTTTGCATACTTAATGTGTCCATTGGGAATCAAAAAAGAGAAGTTCTGGTCTTAGTTCTGCAGTTAAATAGCTGAAATCATAGATTGTTGGTTAGCTTGACTGCACTGGGTTGGTTTCTTCATGCAGAAAACGAAAAGTGTGGCTAGTGGTATCTGGGGTTTTCTTTTAGCTCTAAAAGTTTATTGCCCTAAAGTTAAAATCATTACAAAAGGTAATAATTGAATATTTAGTTTTATGACACCGTGTCAGTCATAGTTCTAGTTTATTAGACAGCACAGTGGCTTTGGCCAGGCATCCTTCTACCTCCATAGTTCCTGTGGGATGTGTTCAACAATTCACCGATAAGATTTCTAAGAATGTTTAATGTCAGGCATGGGGACTGCTTCCATAGCTCTAACTGGCTCCTGGAGGTAATTCTAAGGCACTGACCAAAGAGTGATAAGCAGCTTAGCTAAAGTGAAAGATAGAGATTTCCTTCATCTACATGTACTTTGGTTTTTCCTCTGCAAACAGCTAAGAACAATAATTTTTTTTCAGAGCCCTTGACTCATTTGCTAAGAAAAGTTCTTACTTATGCAATATTAAACACTCGAACTGAATATGGAAGAGTGCATTTCCTAATGTTGATAAAGCAAGTATTCAAAACTGAAAGAAATAAGCTTATGTGCAGACTCCAGCATTATGGTCAATTTCATAACCCAAGCCTACTGTAAGTGATGATGCAACTGAATTTTCTGTTGCTACGATCATTTAAAATAGATTCTAAGACTACTCTGAAATATATTTTATGATATGTTTAAATATATTTAGACTTTGTCTCTGTTAGCAAAACCCAAACTGCATTTCTGTAAGCCGATTATGCTCAGCAGTATTAGTATATAAAATTTGCATGTGATAAAAAGCACAGATGCCCGTTGACAAGTGATTCTTTAAAATTAGATCTCTTGGTTTGAAATAAAGAGATTTACATATAAAAAGAAAGAAGTTTCAAATCTACTGAAACCAGACATCTTGGAAAAGCACGTGTTTTCTGTTTGTTCTCTTACTTTGGTATGTTCTCTTTTCTGTGGTGTATAAAATCCTACCTGTAATAAAATATTAAGAGGGACCATTAGGTCTAACAGAATTATCCCTTTTCTCTAGAAAATAATATTTACATTTACTCGATTTTTTAAAATTTGTGTTTTATTTATTTTCTTTTTAAAAAAAATTCTCACCCAAGGACATGTTTTTCATTGATTCTAAAGAGGGAGGAAGGGAGAGGGAGAGAGAGAAACACTGATGTGAGAGAGAAACATCGATCGGCTGCCTCCCGTACACACCCTGACTGGGGACTGAACCCATAACCTGATTATGTGACCTGACCAGGAATGGACCTGCGACCCTTTGGTGCATGGGGTGATGCTCCAACTAACTAAGCCACACAGGCCGGGGCTTACTTGATTTTTTAAATGAGTAACGATTTAAAAGACAATTATGTGATGTTTATTTAATTAAGCCTCAGGATAAACATCGTGTAATCATCAAAATGGCATGAAACTCCTAATTCGTCTAATTAACATAATACAGTATTTTTAGGATCATTTAAAAATGCCTAATGTTGATATATGGCATCA